CATGAAATGCTAAATGCTAATGTTGCTAATTGCTATTGCTTATAGTCGCGTAGTCGGTACTTTATATTTTGAAGGTGACAGTTGTTATATATTTTAATTTAAATATAACTTTGGTGGGGGATGGCGGGTATTCACACTTTTCGTTATAATAATCGATCTAATAATATTGTCAAATACGAAGTAGAAGTATAGAATGTATACATGACAACATGTTTCATGCACTTAGGTACCTAATAAATATAAATTTTCCATAAATACAAGACCGATGGAAGGGGAGGGGTTGTAAGACTTACATCACTAAAATACCCCCACCCCATCAGCTACATCACTGCTGTTATCGAAACGTATGACATATGATTAATTTCAAAAATATTGGTTTCACTGATGAAATTGACGTAAGCCAAACTACACTTAAATATTATAAGTTTATATTTTGTCATTGCCAATAATTGGCATTGGCAATAATAAATTGTATTGTTTATACGGTTATTCAATATGTAACACTATGTATTTATGTTACTTAAAGTAGAATGTAGGTATATAATATTTTTTTTTCAAACTTAAACGACTTTTATCAAGGTTCACACATTTTTATAAATACCTACCTATACGTGATATTTATTTGTTATTTGTTATTCGTAATTCTATATTATAATAAAATTATTTTAATTCTATTTATAACAATAAGATATCGAATATCTCTCCTGCAAGGTTTAACATGGATTGTAAAAAGATAAACAAGTAAGTAAATGTAAAATTAGATTTTGCCAAACAGTTATTACTACGACGATACTCGAGAATAATACTTTAAACTTAAATATTATTTTAGTTACGCTACTATACTTAACGAAGGATTAACTTGGATTTTACAAACTTATCTTGTGTATACACATTACACATATTATGCAAGTACAATCAATCCAAAATACCGCCCATAAACGATGGTCGGAGACTCGCGTAGGTATAAAGCATATTATTATGAAATATGAATAGGTATATAGGTTTTACTCTTTATGATTACAACTTACGTGCTTAATGCTCGATAAACGCATCGGGTCGGATTTGGAAATTATATGGCTAGCAAATATACGAAAGTACAACACCAATTTCGCTTAAATTTTGTCACACAGCGTCGCAGCACTCTATATTAATTATTACGCTCTGGCGGACGACGAGAATCGAAAGGCACGTCGAAAGCGAAGAAAAATGCCGGCGATGGAATGGAATGGAACACTGACCAACGACTGAAAATATCATGGCTGCCTTATATATTTTTTTCTTTTTTATTGATATTTCGAGTTTTCGCAGTATAAGTAGGTATATAATTATGATCAAAGACTTGGGAAACATTCAGTACATTGATAATAATATTACGTATAGGTATGAGGGTAGGCCCGCGTTTAAAAACAAAAAACAAAACACCTTAACTGAACCTCTTGTTTTCGATTCTTGCGAGAAACCGTTTATTATAAATCTATATTGTATTATTGTATATTATATAATATTATATCGTAGTCGCGCCTTGCGTGTGTGACAATCGGTATATATTTAGACATAGTCATAATAATACATAGTATATACGTCAAGGTGATTCATTTACCACGAAACACTCATAATTTAAAAAAGTACTAATGTTTTTGAAAATATTTTTTTTACGTAGTTTCAGCATGTTAAAAACCGTTTTCATTAAAAAATCGTATTTTTAAAATATATTTTTTATCCTTATATTTTTTAAGTTTTTTACTTTTTTTGAAAGACAACATAGAGTTTTAATTTCATATTCCAAAGCAGAATAGTTTTCTAAGTATTTTGTTACATAAAAATCGAATTTAGGACGAGGAGTTTATGAGTTATAGGATTTAAAGTTTATACTAGCGGTGTAGTGGACAAACATTTTGCGGGGTAACCCTGTACCACTCCACTCCGCCAATCAAAACTTTAAATACTTATAACTCATAAACTGATCGCCCTAAATGCGATTTTTATGAATCAAAATACTTAGAAAAATATTCTGCCTCGGAATACGAAATTACAACTCTCGCTGTCATTGAAAAAATTAAAAAACTTATAAAACTATAAGAATAAAAAATATTTAAAAACATATTTTTTTAATAAAAACGTTGTTTTTTTAACAATACTTGAAAATTTGTAAAAAATATTTTCAAAAACAATTATACTCTTTTTGAAATAATACCTAATGAGTGTTTCATGATAAAAGAATCACACTGTACGTCACGTGTCATATTGTCATATTTTACGCCGCAATACTGCATACTATATGCGCCGCCTGACCGTAGCGTAATTGCCGTAACAGCAACAGCACCTATATTAATATTATTATATCGGCGCATAATAGGAAAACCGTGTAGTTTTTTCGCAGGACGGAAATAATATATTATAAGCAGTTTTCGAGAACAGAAAAAAATTACAGTTATAATAATAATAACGTTATATATTATATATACGCGTATGATATTATATAATATCGATAAAAGGGGCGAACAGCTCATAGTATTAGTCATAGTTTTTACGGAGTTTGGATGTATCGTCGTCGTCGTCGTCCGATCGCCCACGTAGCGGCTGTGGTGGGGATGGCTCGGTTGATGGGAGGGGTGCAGGAGAGGGTGAAGCCGCAATGAGTAATATACGCCCGGGACAGACCTATATACATAGATATATACTACGCTGCACACGAGTCCTATGTCAGTGTATGTATATGTATTTGTTTATGTATAATGTACGTATATATATGTATAATAATAATAATAACCGAAGGGGCAAACTGTGGCGTCGTAATTGGCGCGTCGCGACGCCACTGGCGCCAGCCGGTTTCCAAGGATACGCTATATGGTCTCGTCCGGCTGGTGGTGGCGGCGGCGGCGGGTGGAGAACAATGTTTTTCTTTCCGCCAAACGACAGCGGTCCATATTCCGCTGCAACGACGGCCCTAAGTCTGAACAACATAATGTTCGTGCGCGGTGTGTATATATATATATAATATTATATGTATATATTTTTATTTTCTATTATTGGTTTTAAAACGTTGTATACTTTTATGGCCTATTCGGTGCACACGACATTTACAGGGTGATTCATAATGCCCGGCACGCGCTCACTCCCTTTTTTTTTCGACAGTGTAAAATTAAATCAGATTTTAGAAAGTTTTCGATTATATTCTTCGAGACCATAGTAGTAGTACTATATTAAAATTCTTTAGATATTTTTGTACTACTTACTACTCACTCGGAGTGTCCGTTGTGCAGATGCAAACTTCTGTTTTTCAAATATAAGAGCCCCCCTTTTCTATTGCAAGTTATCAAGTGAACAGTTTTTATTAAAATGTTGACGTATCAGAATCGAAATTCGATAGAGCCGTTTTTGAGTTGTTTTTCATTTGTGTACTACGCGGATAATAGGTCCATTATAATGGGTTTGGAAGATATTATAAGCTAAGTGCATAGGTGCAAAGCCATTAAAATTTCTGGGAGGGGCTAACATTTTTAACATTGATGTGAGTGGGGGGAGGGGCTTCGATCCCACACAACTAAAAAACTGTATAATATCTTTTGGGGTCTAATGCGATATTTGAGAGGCTAAGCCTTCTTAAACCCCCTGCGATTTACGCATTTGGTGGTTTGAATACAATTTAGTGATTAATATTAATCCATCAACATTAATAATTTGAAAAATGGTCGAAGTTTAATGAATAATAGATCCAATATTACATCTACTTTATATTTGTATAAAACCATTTTTAAGGTCTAATATTCTTATAGTATAAACATTTTAATAACCGAGAAACTATTTGTTCGAATTTTGAATTAGGGATGTTGGAATTTTCAAAAAAAATGATCTACTAAAAAATAAAATACAATGTAGACAGGGGGTCCCCTGTCTAATTTGAAAAAAAAAACAGAAATTTGTAAAAATGTCCACAAAATCTCATTAAGCAGTATAAAAAAATCTAAGGAATTTAAAAATAAGGTCTTTAATTATATTGTTTAAAAATTCCTAAAATCAGATTTTAAGTAACTGCATTATTGAAGAAAAAAGGGGCGTGTATTTTAATGAAACCACTATGTGTATAAAGGAAATAGATAGGTACAGGATGAATCGGGGAGATCAGAAAAAATATCACAGTGAAATCAAATATTGTGTACATCGATGTATCTATACATTGTAAGTATGACGCATAATAATAATAATAAAAGACACTCACACTTGAGAAGTAAAAGGTTGCAGTATAGTTTAATAGATTCGTATCAGTATCGTATTATTTTTACCCTTTTGCAAACTGACATCCGTTAAAAAATATCCGCACTATAATATGGTGTAATACAAAATCAAAGAACACAATGCATAATATATCTAGTGCACTTTTTACTATGCACTATGAGCGATTTCAAGAAGGTTGATTTACGACGAAATAATATAGGAAAATATATTAATTATTATCGTATTAATATTATACATTTATATATGTATATTGGCCTAACGTTGCAGAATCTATACTCCTACTCGACTATTGTCGACTCGTAACTAAATTAGGAACCTTTTTTGTGTGATAGTTACAACTGAGCTTGAGGGTTTTTTTTTTAAATTAAATTTAACAGCATTATCATGATTGGTATGGAAATATTTTTATAACCGTAAGTCTATTATTCTATTTTAAAATTTAAATTTAATTTACGGTTGCTATTGATTTTCCACAATTATATGAGTTATATTTTACCATTATTGTGATCAAAGGAGTTAAAGTATACCAAACCTACAAAAATTTAAAGCTGTTATAATATGTTAACATATTACAATATATCTAGAATAGGGCCCCTATATGTGGAGTTTTTAAGTATTTACAAACTTTTAATTATAATTAGTTAAAATCAATGTATATTCAAATAATTCACTATTATAGTTTTGATTTTATAAATCCAGTTAAAATGTTCGTGTGTGCATCGCTTTGAAACCCAAAACGTCAATACTTTTATAATATTTATGTCTTAGGAATAATGAACAATATATTCCGGGTAAAAAGTATTATCGTCATATTTAACATAAACGTTTCCGTCGTTCCGTAGTGTAGTGTCACAATCGTTTGTCGAAGGTATTTCTAGGTCGTAATCAATGCCTGTTTCTTCAATTTTCCTCACAAGCACTCTTGCAATGATAAAGGCTAAAATCATACAAATATTACGTATAAATCAAAGTACCTTCCATTAGTGTTCTAAAATATGTGAATATATTGGCCGCATTGCCGCATTGGTCATTGTGAATAGTTTATTTACCTCCTCTCCTTCCCGCATATCTATTGGCATAAGCTGCATTCGGTGAAAACCAAGCACCTTTCCCAAATCTTGTTCGGCCCGTTAAACGCCAGTCGATATTTTTGTGAGCAATACGTATAGCATTACTTACGGAAGTTGCGTGAAACAATGTCTCCTCTCTTACCTCACCAAGGCTATTATCTAGTTTCATCTCTTCCTTATGCAATAGGTATAAGCCGTACAGATGTGCGTTATTAATTTTTTGTACTTTTAAAATCTATAATTTAGATATATAATTATGCTATCAATTATTATTGTTAATATTATTATTTATTGAACGAGAGGAGATTTTTTTTAAGTTGATCTATTGATTGGCCTTATTCGTAAATTGTACGTATATAAAATATATACTAGCTGAACCCGTGCACTTCGTTACCCGTTAAATGTACCAACTCTATAAGACTCAAACTTTGTTCAATTCGTTATTTAATATTCCGTGTATGGTGTTTGAAATTAATCTTAACTTTTCCGTTGCCCGAAATAAAAATTCTGATTCGCAGTAATATATTGACAGGTAGGCAATCTACCTGTGGTAGATCGCGGACCCCGAGCTGTTTGTACGTAAGTGTATGATTTAACTCTAAAGTATCAAAGTTATATCAAGTTTGTCGTATTCTACCTATGGGGATAATATATTTTTTTATTTATTTATTTATTTATTTATTATATGATTAACGCCAAACGGCTTTTATAAAAAGGTATACGCAGTATAATATACATATTTAAGTACAAATTGATAATAGTATAGATTTAAGTACAAAGTAAAAGTATGAGACAAACAAAATAAACGACAAAACAATGTGATCGTAGATCACAGTTGATTGGCCAACCTAAGCATACTGTGCATGGGGTGATTATGGCTGAAGGAAGAGGACATAGTTGGAATGTAATATAAGGAGAGTGATTTCGAACATTGGGAGAGGGGACTTTAAATTGGATTTTCGATAGTAGGTCAGGAGAGTCGATAGAGTTGACAAGGAGAGAATGAATGAACTGTAATATAATAATATAGTGATATTGTAATAATCAATTAATACAAAATCCTAACCTAACCTGTTGCGTCACTGTTATATTTTTGACATCCAGATTTCCTACTTATCCGGTGGATTTTCCTAAAATTTTTTTTCATAAGAACCTTCTCCGTGATATACTCTTTCTTTAAAAAAAACCGAGAAGATCTGATAAGTAGTTCCAGAGTTAACCCTGTACAAAGATTTTAATTTCACATTTATATAGTTAGAAATTAGAAGATTTATTTATATTGACAAAAAATAATAATACAAATCAACAAAGATGCCCGTAACCAATAGCAAGCAATATACAATACACTGTTATGATTTTTCGAGAAATAGACGTTGTTGTTGTTTTTGGCCATGTCACCAGGTGTGCACTTAAGAGGCCATAACTCTGAAACCACTTATTACACAGCATACAACCTTCACAGAAATCATCTACATATCAATCTTAATATGCTCTGAAATTTTTATCGAAATCGGTTTGGTGGATCTTGAGTTATAAAATTTTGTTCAAAGTGTACACTTATTTTTAGATATACATATATTTTTTTTCTGAAAATTTATATAGATATTACAGTAATTTTTTTTTATAAAACCAAACTAAACTAACTCTAAATCTATCTGATATTATTTTAAATTCCATTCGGTGACACACATTAAAATTATCCCCATTTAAAATATCTCGAGACTCGACCGAGATTTTAGTTTAACAAGCAGTGAAATTTAGTCTCCAATTATTTTATGATATTTATATAATAATATAATTAAAATAAATTGAAGCTTACACGAAAATCATTTTTAATCTCGGTGAAAAATGAATCATCGGAATATTCGTAGTCATCATAATCTTCCAGTAGTTCTTGTGTGTAAATATTTCTCAATATGTTTGATTGAGAAAATCGTCTTAAAATAAGGTGTATAAAATTAATGAATAATATTATTTATACATATATATTATAGGTAGTCTGTTATTATATAAATAAAATATTATTAATCATTATGACGTGTTATGGCAGGGTTTATGGAAAGATAATAAGTCTGTATTTTGACATTTGAAGACGTTTTAAGGCGGTTGAAAGCAGCGTATTTATTTCATGATTTAGACCTAAAAGTCTGACAAAATTACGCCTACTTAGAATTATCAGATTTCAATTCTGTAAAACGTGTTCATCGACAATTTTCCTAGGTTATTGTGGGAATCAATTTTCGATATTTTTTGTAGAATTCATGTTAAATCGTATTTTGATTTCTCAATTTTTTTTAAATTGTTTGTGTCTTTCTTTAAAAAGTTAAACAGTTATTCAAAAATCGACTTCCACAATAATCTAGAAAAAAGAACGATGAGCTCAAATATGTTTGCAGAACTAAAATCCGATCATTCTGAGTTATCGTATTTTTGTCAGTCTTTTAGGTCTCAATTGATTGAAATTAGTTGGAACAAAATATTTTATTATGTGACATGTGCATGCGCTTAATACATCCTTTACCATGTACATTCGAAGGCTATAATAGGCAAGTATACTTGTACAGCAGAGCCGCAGAGCTGCATCCTCCCTCTTTCGCGTCCTATAATTACTTGATAATTACTAAAAATTACTTTTTTTTAATGCTATACTTATATGTATTTATATGTTATATGTTAATAGATTTAACCAAACTTTCCATTACTAAGGTGGTTTGATAATAATAAAGAATAATATTAATATATTATGCTTTGTAAATTAATCAGTAATAAATTATCTTGTATACTTACATAATATGTTGTAAAGACATGATTATTTATAGTGTGGGACACTAAGTAGTTTGTAATAATACTTTTAGAAATATCTGAATCTTTAGATAAATTTAAAATTTAATAATTTTGTTGATTTTATATCAATGCAGTTTAATTGTGTTATATTTATGTAAATGTTGTTTCTATGATACACATTGAATAATTGAAACACTTAAATCGTGTATAGTATTAACTTTTACCATAGAACATTATAGAAGCGAAACTCGATCAGCTGATTGGGGTATTGTCGGTATTGGTTCCCTATGATCTGAAGTCTGAACCTACGAAAAACATGGAATTGGTTCCCGCACCAACATGATGTTAGACCCGTATTATATTATAAAATTGGTTCCAAGACTAAGGCGGGATACGAGACGCGGGGTCGGCACTATGGCGGGATACGGGACGCGGGGTTTTCACGTATGCCACGCTCTCCTGAAGACCGTGTTCAAGGCCGCAATCGCCTGGTTCGGCCAACGCACGGACTTTCGTACCCCTGCTTTTACTTAAGAGTATTTAACGTCACAGAATTTTATCACTATTTAATATTATTATACCAATCGCATGCCATTAATTATTACCATGAGCAATATTACGTAATACTCGATCCCCGACCCCCACAACACCTGCAGTGTCCGCTTGTCGACAGGCCGCCGCCGCGCGCCGCCGGTCGCGACCGTCGCGTCCGTCGGTGCGCGCCGACAGGGCAGTTTGTCATTCCCTAATTAATGTAACTTTCCCTTGATCATGCGACACTGACTTTCCCCACCAATACCACGAAGACGACCAGGGCCCAACGGCCGAAGACGACCGCTGACTCCTCATCACTCTCTTTTTTTTACACCGAGACCGCTGAACTTGCAAGACTGCCGTATACCTAAAGTGACCATGTATTTTTTTAATCAAAACGGGACAAAAAAAAAAATCATAATTATTTGTTACAAACAAATATTTTTAATTTTATAATATTATTAGCAAATTTCTGTGGTACTTATGTTTTTAAAGGACAAAAAAATTAAATTAACTTATTACACTTACTACCTAACTTATTATAAACAAAATGTTTTCGTGTAATAATTACAAAGTTAAATACTTGTATATTTTTCGTTTGAACAAATTTGTTTTTATAAATCTGGCGATGACTTCAGGAACGAGTAAAATTCTGTACAAGACATTTTAAAGTTCACTTTTGTTAGCAAAACATACCTAACACACATAAGAAATAAGATATAATAAAAACTATATTTCGTCAACGAACATTTATTTTCATTATTTATTTTTGTCTAATTTTTGAAAACGGGACATTTAGCGTCCCGAAGATTTCCCAGGGGACAAAAGGACAGAGATTCAAAAAACGGGACTGTCCCGTTCAAAACGGGACGTATGGTCACCTTACGTATACCACGTGTCCACGTCTCACGGACTTTCATCCTTGTCGTATACCACTCACAAGCGTACACCCACGATTTTCAACGGCAACCATTGTGTTTTTTCTTTTTCTGTATTAAACCGTGGTTGAAACCTCATCATGATGGGCTGAGCAACGCCAGTGGGCCGTGGTGGCCATATATGACACGGACCGCGATGGGTTTCCACTCCACAATGTGGATCTACGTTTCCTACGACCAGGTGGGCCATGCCGGGCACGTGCGAGCCGGCGACAGTTTTGTCAGCCTACCCATATCTTCGAAACGTCAACAACCACCTCAACAGTCAACCTCATGAATCATGATTTTGTAATGTATCATTTCTTTTCCAGTTTTCCCCCCATACCCCTCTAAAATTTGGTTGTTGTAATATTTTCATCGCTTTCTTTCTCTTATTATGAGTATTTTGTTATACGCGACAGCTCGGGCGGTAACCCTATGGTTAGCTACTTGTTATTGGCAAATTATTCTATTTTAAACACCGTCGGTGTCACGCAGAACCTCGTGGGCTGACCTGAGTTTCTTAATTATTATTAAATGAACACCATCCATGTGCCAAAGTATTAAATATTATTCTCCTCACATTTAAATAACCAAATAGTATCATTATCCGTTACACTTGTGACATTCAAATAATTATCCTAAATTGTTACCATATTATTATTATGTACAATACAAATTGTTATTATTACCTTAAATTCATTTTTTTTTTTTATTTATTTATTGGTCACCTTTTTCCCTAGCTTTAAGCTATGAGTTATCCAAATACTAGATTAAAATGGCGTTTCATTACCCCATAGTGTTAAAACCTACGAGTTCCGCCGCGACAATCTTAGGATCGTAGGTCACAACTTGAGTGTTCCCCTCAAGTTGTGGGTGGTTTGCAGAGCCCTAAAAAGCTCCGTCATCTCACAAGTATTGGTTATTTTTTGTC